TTTTTTAAAACAACCGTCATCTTTACTTCACAATAGACGACCCTTTTTTTTAAAAAAACCGTCATCTTTACATATAATAGACGACCTTTTTTAAAAAAAAACCGTCATCTTTACTTCACAATAGACGACCCTTTTTTTAAAACAACCGTCATCTTTATATATAATAGACGACCCTTTTAAAAAAAAAAACTGTAATCTTTACTTATAATAGACGACAGTTCTTTAAAAAAAATCGTCATCTTTACATATAATAGACGACAGTTCCTTCAAAACAACCATGTCTTTACCAAAAAAAGGACACTTGATTTTTAAAAGACGACGCTTGTCATACCTGCTGTCGTTGTTTTTTGGTCAGATTTTAACTATGAAGAAAACCTTTTTAATAAGACGACGCTTTTTTATTTGTGTGCGTCATTATAAAAAAATATTCAACAGTACCTCCGTTTTTTAGTTGTTTAAGTCACTTATCCACGACAGTTTTTTGTTACCGTCGTCTTTTTAAATACAACGATGGTTTTTTCTTCTACCATCGTCTTTTTCTGGTCGTCTTTTCCACTTTTTGTAGTAGTGACAATAGAGTAAGTTATACACAAAAGCACCCTCAAATTTTGCATGTGTCTTTTCTCCATAAACTTTTACTTAAGCATATAATCAACCATAATTATTTGATAAAAAAAAAAAAACAATAAATATGAAGTAGTTTCAAATAGAACTTATGGTTTTTATAATTAAAAAAAATTAAACAAGGAAACTTTAGTTATTGAAATGCTGGCATGGCTCAATTTGATCTTAGTTCGTAGGCATTGAACTTGACTAATTGGGTGGGTTCTTTCGAAAATTCTAAGGTGGACCTAGTGCATGTATGCGCCCAATATTATGGACCATTGGATGAGCATTTGGAGGATGTGGGGTAATCCAAATTGTAACACCTCGTCCCAAAATCACTATTTATTTATTTATTTTTGGTGAAAATTACATTTTTGTCATTAAGGGTGGGGGTATTTTGGTCATTTTTTTGGGGGGAATGTTTTTGGGAATGAAGTCACACCATTGCGTAGAGCTCGTCGATACGAGTTCGTAGAAATGTAGAGAGTTCAAATCCAACTTAAAATGAGAGAGAGAGAGAGAGAGAGAGAGAGAGAGAGAGAGAGAGAGAGAGAGAGAGAGAGAAGGTCTAAAAATGGAAAAGACATAAGAGTAATTTTCCACAAAAATTTAAAACACTTACAGGTCTCTCTCTCTCTATCTCTTCCTCCTCAGTTCTCTCTCTCCCAAGCCTCTCTTCATTCTCGTTAGCGATTCGTCGCCATCTGGGCATGACGACAAGCGCCACCACATTCGAAATCTCCCTCTCTCATCCCTCAAACCCCAACCCTATCGACGACAAAACCCCCAAGATCGGCTTGATTTTCGATTGAAAATCAAGCCCAAAAATAGCTCTTTGGCGCCGTACTTTTAGGCTCTCAATCCGGCCACCATCAGCTATTACCGGCAACGACTTCACTCCCAAAACATTCCCCACCCTCTCCTCTACCTATCCCACCAAAGACCTTATGCACCCACTCATGGGAGACATCGACGTGAGCCATAAGCCTTGTGAGTAGAAGATGTTGAAAAACTTGTGAATGACTGACTCCGAGATCTCAAGGTTGGAAGAGACTTAGAGGATGCCATGTGCAAGGAGGTAACCCAAGTAAACTCTTCTCCATTCACCAATGAGATCGAGTAGGCGGCATTGCCAAGACGATTCACAATGCCATCTTTCACATCATTCAAAAGGTATTTTGATCCCGAGAGCCATCTGAAGCATTTTAGAAGTGTCATGATTCTCTACAAGTCTAAAGATGCGCTGATGTGTAAGGTGTTTGCAATGACCTTGCGGGAGCAGCTCAAGATTGGTTCCATACCCTACTGTCTGGGTCGATCAGCAGCTTCAAGGAGCTAGCCCTTGTTTTCACTAAGGAGTATACCTCCTATCGGATGGTCAAAAATCAAGCTGACCGCCTGTTCAATCTGCGCAAGAAGCCCGATGAGTCCCTCCGAGCACCGAATCATGCCCTCAACTTTCAAAAAAGGTTTGCCAACCGAGCATGACCTATACCTTGAGCTGACTATCGCTTTCAGCCAAACACTAGCATAGGTCTTCGAGATCGCGGAACGTTATGTGCTTTAGGATGACTATCGAATTGTCGCGAAAAAGGCTGCCAAGCGAGTCAATCAACCTCCAAGCAGGCAGGTCAGAGAAGTGACAAGTTCAACAACAAGAACAATAACAAGTGCAAAGCGAAACCACAAGGAGGCACTCCGACAGATGAGAGCTACACAAAGTTCACCATCCCGATACATCAAATCCTAGCCTAAGTGAAAGACAAACCTTGGCTGAGGAGGCCTTTGCCTTTGAAAGGAACCTGACAAGAGGAATACCAACAAATACTGTGCTTTTCATGGAATACATGGACATGAAACGGTCAATTGTTGAGCTTCGAAAATGCACCTCAAAGAGTTGGTAAGTGCTTTACGGATCTAGAGCTCGACTTACCCAACTAGTAAGAAATTCAAACAAACAACAAGGCACGACAACTTGTGGTAAGGTTGGGGGTGGTCCGCCAAATCTGGTGAGGTTTTGCTTTGATGTATTGGTTGGTGAGGATGCTTTGGGTTTGATGGACAAGGCGATGGGGAGTATGAGCAGGTGGTGTGTAGTGGGATATATATATATATATATATATTTTCAATTTAAAGATTTTATTTGTCTTAATATTTATTTTTAAAATGAATGGAATTTTAATAATTTATTGACTGAATTGCCCCTCCACAACTAAGAGAAGTTAAAAAAAAGAGACAAAAATTAAGGATTGTACTTGAATTAACTACATGACCAAAAGTAACTTTTTGCCAAAACGACAAAACAAAACTCACTCAACTTGCTGGGTTTTTTTGCAGTGTCAGGGGTTGAGAAGCACCCCTCTTTCTTCCGTTCCCGCTCTCATTCCAGCTTCGAGGATGCAGAAGAAAGCTTCAAGGCGGCGAAGCACTACTTGTCGTCCTAATAAACGCAAGCTCTTACACCTGCCACGTAATCATTGTCTTTTCTGTTTGGTGTCCCAGAAAATTTCACTCGAGAAAATTAAATAAATTAAATTATAATCCTTTTGGTGTTTTGCGTTATATGAATTAATCATTTGGGGTTCGAAACTTCCAGCTACTTGAAACTACAATACTAAAAGATTTTATAAGCAAATTCCTTTTTTCTAAAGCAAACTTTGAACTCTTTCGTTGGACAATTTTCTTCCACAATATAAATTAATTTTCTTTTTTAATTTTTTCTTTACTTCATTTAATTTTCTTGACAACCAAAAGCAGCTAAATTTGCAATTTCTTTATCTTGTTTCTCATCTGAATCTGAAGTTCATATAAAACGGAAATTTGTAGGTTCCCTTTTCTTTTACTCTCTTACTAAAAGTTTCTTGGCACCCAAACACAGCTGAAATAATCCCTTTTATGGTTCTTTGTTTTCTCAGGTCAAATTCAGAAGAGAAGGAAATTTCTTGAAGAAGGGTTGACTCCCCTTGTTGAGAAGTATTGGTTTCAGAGATATGATCTGTTTTCGAGATACGATGAGGGGATCAAAATGGATGAACAGGGGTGGTACTCTGTGACACCTGAAAAGATTGCAATCACCCACGCCAAGAGGTGTGAAAATGCAACCGTCATCGATTGCTTTGCAGGCGTTGGCGGCAATGCCATTCAGTTTGCTTCAATGTAAGCTCCCCAAGTTTGGTTGTTGATTTTGATGCAATAACTTTGTGTATTCTTGATGTTTTGTTCTTCCAATTAGGAGCTTTTTGGATGTTTACTGCCAAAGTCCCAAAACTTTCTTCTGAAAAGCTCTTGTTTATGGAATTGTTGAAATGAGGTGCTGATCCATGCAAATTATTAGTTACTTGGCAACCAATTTTAACAAGTCTTAGCTTTATGGCTTGGCTTGGATATTCAAGGTGGACATATGTGTTAGTAAAACTTCTACCTAATTGCACCTCTGGTTGAATGGAATCTAATAAAATATGCATTTAAGCTGCGAGCCATTTGATGTTTGGTGTCTTATATGGACACCTGAGGGAGAAGTTTACTTCTAGACCAGTTAAATAGTAGTAAATTGCTATGGTTATATTGAAAAATACAGCAGGGTACTAGTATATCGGAGGTGGTGATGGGAGACCTAATGTCCTATTCCTTATCATATTGTATGCTATTTGCATCAGTTCATAGGAAACTTTTATAGTTGACCAATTATAAATTTATCTCTGGTTTTGAGTCTTGAACTCTCTTGGATGGACTTTTATGGTCACGTGGAGGTGGACCTTTGGTATATCCAAGGGCCTTTTTTTATGCATGTTGGAGAGGCTTTTGAAGTGTACAAGCTTAATAAATTTTTATCTTTGGTCTCTTAGGTGTTGTCATGTTGTTGCTATTGAAATTGATCCCCTTAAAGTTGATATGGCCATTAACAATGCTAAAATATATGGAGTGGAAGATTACATTGATTTCATTGTTGGAGACTTTTTTCAACTTGCACCATCATTGAAGGTACTGCTTTCCTATCTGTACTAATTGCTGAGAACCTTTCAGATAGTTCTTCATTTGAGAATGTAACTCCCTGATGTGCAAGTATGGAGATTCATTTCAAGGAAATTCCATGTTGATTAGTTTGTCAGTTTGAGTTTGCAAGTTCAGTCTTTCAGATAACCTTTTTTCTCATTTTCAGTGTTTCAATATATGCTGAGGACTTTTATCGATGGTTTTTCGCATGTGTTGATGGTTTTAGGTGAACTGATTGACTTCTGTGTTCAATTGTTATCATATAAATAATCAGGAAGAAAGGTTCTTAGTTTGTTGATTTATCTGTTGTTACTACTTTCAATAAAAAGTGAAGTTAAACAAACTGAGTTAATGTTGTCAGAATATGTGCAAGCTTTCAGATTTTGTGTTTATGAGTATATGACAATATAAGAAGAGTTTTAATGTAGGAATACTCTTAAATATGTTTTAGTGTATTTAAACCTTTTTTCTTTATGGTAAGTAGAAAGGCTTTGTCTGGTTCCATGAGTTTGTTAACTGTACTTTGCGATGAACTTTCTTAGATTTTGTTGGGATCTTTTTATAATGTGACCTGATGTGGTATGATATTTGATAAATTTCATTAGTATCTGGAGCTAACAAATGAATGAATACGTAAATATGTGCAAAATTTGGGCACTTTTGTTTTAAAATGAAAAACTTTTGAATTAATTCTTCTGTCATAGCTTGAGATGGAATTAATGATGTACATTTTGCATCTTAATTTTGTTAGGGGGACGTAGTGTTTCTTTCACCACCTTGGGGAGGCCCATCATACAAATGGGTGAAGAAATTTACACTTGACTTACTCAAGCCAAAAGATGGGTATGTAACTATGCCTTCATTTTATGTTGTGTGATTAGAGTTAACGGTCACTGCTTTAGTTTACTGAAAAAATGAACTATGATAGTGATGATAAATTTTAACATATCGTGGAGCTTACATTAAAGATGTGAGGCAGGCAACCGAACTTAAAATTAAAATTATAGTCATAGCTGGAATATTTAAGCTCTAACATACCATGGAGCTTACTTCACAGAAGCTTCTACCCAAAAAAAAACTGTCAAAATAGTCAAAATTCAACTAGGACCTGATTGAAATCCTCCCTAAGAAATTTCAATTATATAAGTACCTTTTTTTTTTTTAATGATCACGTTTTTAAAATGTAGTCATATATTATTCGAATTCCTAGATTTGCTGGATATGGCTGTAGTTCTCACCTAGTGTCTTACAATTATTCCTTTGATGTCAGGGGCTTACTGTGTTTAATTTTTGGTCGTTTACTTTCTGAGTTGAGGCCCATGTCCTTGTAGGATTGAGTGTGGTGGAAGCCTTTGTGTTATTGTTGCTCTTTTAGTCTAAATAAAATAAAATCTTTAGTGATACTTGCGGATGATGCTGCTCTATCAAATTTGTGATATAACTCTTGTAACAACCATGATGAGTGTACATTCTACCTTTTCATCCCCAACTTGTTCCTGGCCATCAATCCCTAACCTCTTACACCGTTAAGTCCTTAGTTTTGTTGCTGCAGAAATTCCTGAACCCTGAAGTGAAATTTCTTAGTGTCCTGCAACCTCACCCGCAAATTGGTTCTTTTCTGTGCCTGGTTTCAATTGTAATGCCTGATTTGTTTCCCCCTCATCCCTTAATACTCAAATCCGTACTCTTGTGCTGGATTGTAATTTGTACCCACCACACAAACTGCTAGGTAGCATTATATATATCAATTTTGAGTCATCTGTGGGACAGTGTGAACTACCATAAATTTAATAGCAGTCACTATGACGACCTCTAGTCCAAATTGCATTTCTACAAGTATCTCTTTAGTTCAGAAATATAAGTTGTGACATCATGAAGACAGTGCACATCTAACAGTCTATCAAACAAAAAAGTTAAAAGTTATGAGTATAGATATATTCCTCGCATTCTTCAGACATTGAGCTTAGTCTCCAACTCCAATCAATTGGGCCTGAATTTTTGCGTAAACGCTAATAGTAATCCAACTGTCTTTGGTGTCATGTGATAACTATTTAACTCTCATTACCAATGTTACAAACTGAGTTCTGCTAAGTTCATATGTATGAACTCAAATCCTAACTTCAACCAGGCATTATGGTTGTGTCAGGCTTGGTTATTGAATTAAAACCAGAATTTCTTTCTGATACTAAACAAGCACTTTCAACCAGAAATAGATTAGGCTTTTGGGAGCTTTTTGATCTATTTTGTGGTTAATTTTCCCTCTATTTTATACATTGAGTGGTAATTTTGTCCCTGGGGACTTCTCCAACAAAACTAAATGAAGTAATTATTTTGTAGCCTGACTATCTACTTTTAATTATGTTTTCTACATTATCTATTTTGTTTTCAATATAATTATTCAACTCTTAATGCGCAGGTATGCAATATTTCAAGCTGCTCAAGCGATAACGCCCAACATCATTATGTTCTTACCTCGGAATGTAGACTTGCTCCAAGTGGAAGAACTCTGTTGGTTGTCTTCTCCTCCTCTACAAGTTGAGGTATGGTCCTGCCCATACAATTTTTTTTTTTGTTATGCATGGAAACTGTCTATAGTATCGTGTTTTTTTTTTCTTTCTTGTGTGTGTATTTTGAAATTTGCAGTTTGAACACCTTGTTTAGATCTCTTGTCTAATTTTAGTGTCGACCTTGAACAATATGCGATGGATATTAATTTTGCAGATTGAAGAAAATTATGTGAGGAGCAATTTAAAGGGTGTAACTGTCTACTTTGGTGGCACTGCAGCATCAAGTCAATATGGGTCATCATAATCTTTCTAAGCTATGAGTTGACCTAAGTGTAGTGTATATCAAGGACGTTAATCACTTGCTGAATTATTTGTAGCATAATTTTAAATGTCAAGGAAAAGCTTTGAGGGTTGTTTGGTTGAATACGGCCAACATATGGAGAAGGTTCAGTTGTTGGCAATCATACTTCTTGAAGATGCTTAGTTGCGTGTGTGTGTGTGTGTGTGGCTGGCTACATTAGAGGGGATCAAATCTTTGACCGATCCTAATCCTAACTCATTTTCTCGCCCTCCAATACTGCTTTGGTTAAACCTAGGGCTTGTGTGGTTGTTATTTTCTTGAAAAAATGACATGCTCATTTGATGATAGCCAAATTAATAAGAAACGTTTCCAAAAATAAATTCTCTCTTTAGAACCAAAAATTGAACATATCTCAATGTTGGAAGAGGGCCAAGTTCGAGTTCTTCCTTTATTAAGAAAAAAAAAATCAAACATATGAGCACGAAATCTGCACTCTACATTCGGCTCTAATCAAATAAATTGGCTTTTCTCAGCCTTCTCCATTTTTTAGGGGGGTGATATTCTAAACCTGGAGTTTGAACTCAAGTGCAAGATAGCAGACACATTGTCTTGACCAACCAGCCTACACTGCATTTGCTTGCTCGGCCTTGGTTATCATTAACTGAAATATATATAAATAAAAAAAGAAACTCATTTACACATGCCCCAGAGATTGAATTTAGCATTTCTCGTGCCAAAACAATAAGTCCAAATGTAAATAATAATAAAAAACACTCAGAATCTAAATCAAGACGAGTGTAATTGTTGTACTTTAAGCTGGAATTAATAATGTTTTTCATAATACATTTTGTTAAGGAAAACATCATTTGCTTTATTACTTTGCTGAATAAATGAACTAATGACATTGCTAGTGATGATGATGAATTGTTAACATACCATGGAGCTTGCATTACAAATCATAGCTGCAACTTGCAAGGCAAGTTATCAGAAGCTTCTATGACAAAAAAGAGAGAACTTGCACAAGTATGATATACTCTTATAAAGCCTACGTTTTCATCCCCATTCCCCAAGCATGATGATTTAATTCTTGGAACAACCTGTTTCATCCCTAACCTGCCAAAGATAGTGTAATTGAGAGAGTTGAGAATGTATAATAAGAAGAACAAGATAGGTTTTGCAGAGAATTCAAATCTGCCAATTGAGTTTCTTACTTAGTGAAGGGTTAGATATACAAGTATACAAGGTGATTATTAGTTACAAACAATGCACAAGACATGGAGGGAAACATGGAGAGTTTCCATCCCTACACACCTTCAACTAGTTGCGGCCGGACACTCCTGAAACCTAAATGCACATCGACCAAGAAACTTTTAGGTGTAACCGGTTGTATGCAACCAATGAAACGGCAGATTTTCTGGTTCTTCTCAGAGCCTGACTTCAACATTAATGCCTGAAATACCTTTTTCCAATCTAAACACACCCAATGCAGACTTCCAATCATTCTTAAACCGATGGAACAATTGACCAACAAGGTTATCTGTGAGCCGAATGCTATTGCATGCTTGATCATGTGCAAGAAGAGACTGTAGAATCTCATCATCACTGCTACCAACAGATACTTTAGCAATGATAATGTCAAGGTCCGATAGTCTTGTTGGGTCTTCAAACCATCCTCGAAACGTTTGGTTTCATCGGTCCCATTGCCTACGTCTCAACTGGCCGAGGGGAGATTGATGGCAGAGTCCAACGAAGGCAATCGGACCGACGAAACCAAACTTTTTGAGGAGGTCAGCTTCCGTGACATTCAACTCTTGGTCCCATGGTAACCAAAACGACATTCAAAACCCCACTCTCTTATAGTAGCGCTGCTTCTTCTGTAGATTTCTCTGTTTATCTTGTATGTGTCTATTTCTCTATCTTGATTGCATTGGCCTTTTTTGGCTTATGGATGGAGTGGGTCGATTGTAGAAATGGATTCTCCTGCCGGCGAGAAAGGAAAAATGGGCAAAAAAAGGTTTTCGATTCTGTGAAATGGGTTTTCTCTGTTTGGTTCTGCTGGCTTTGTTTCCTTTTTAGGATTTTCTTGACTAATGACCGACCAAATTTCAAGTTTCTTAAATGGGTTTTCGGTGGTTTCTTTCTTGGCTTAATGTCTTTTTGTAATGGCAACCTTGGTTACTCAATTTCTCTGTTTGGGGTTTCTTTTGGTTTGTTTATTTATTTTATACATTTTCTTGCTTAATGGCGAACCAACTTTCATTTTTCTGAAATGGGTTCTTGGTGGTTTTGTTTCTTGTCCTCAATTTCTATGTTTTTATTCTCTAGTTAGATCTCCTCTTGTGTTTCATATTTGCATGTATGATTTTTTGTTTCTTGATCAGAATTCTTGCTTGCTCTGTGAGCTTATGATGTCAGTTTTGTTGTTTGAACAGTTCAAATGGAAAATTGTTAGCTTTAAGTCCTCTGTCTCCTTCTCTTTAAATGCTTTCATGCTTCATTTCTGCACAACCTTCATTGACATGTTATATTTGATCTTCGATGCGTCTGTTTACTTGGGGTTATCTGTTTTGATCAGCATTGGAGGCTACGGCTTGGCTAAATCACACTGAACTGGAGGGGAAAACCATGAGAATAATGCAGCACAGATGACATGAACGTCAGAAATACTGTTGGAGATGAACAACTGTGTCAAAGAAGCTCAAGTTTCGAAGGTGGCAAATTATAGTAGGATCAGTGTAGTAGATCATTGCACTGTTTTCACTAAGTGTGGCTCCAACTTAACCTGAACACTGGTGGCATTTTACGTTTGCTAAATGGCTTGTTACTAGTTCAGTTTCTATCAAAGCATTTCGTTCCTTCTTGCTTGTAATTTGCAAAAGATGTTGTACATTTGATTGGCTCTGTAAATCTCTTTAGTAAGGTGAGACCAGGATTAAGAATTTTTTTTGGTAAATACCACGAGGTGTCCCTACACCTGAAGGATGAGATTAATCGTCGTTCGGGGTTCGGCTTGCCCCTGACCACAAAGTGCTTCCAACGGGTTTCAAACTCCTGTCATTGAGGCAACAGGTAGCTTGCCAATTGAAGGTGGCAGTTTGCCAACCGCACCACAACTTGTGGTTCCAGGATTAAGAATTTTCAATACTAATCAATTTGACTATTTTCACAGTATGTGAAATTCGCTAAAATAGCATTTTTCGCAACTTTTATTCTAAAATAGCCCCATTTGTATTAAAAAAAGTACTGTATGAGACAGGGGCTATTATAGAATAAAAGTTATCAGAAAGGGTTATTTTAGCACAAACCCCTTTCTGTAATGTTAGCTGTTGTGGGGATATGATTAGATCTCTCTCTCTCTCTCTCTCTCTCTCTCTCAACTTATTAAGCTTTTGCATCACTATCTTTGTAAACATAGTAACCTAAAAATTTGAGATGAAATATTTGGCTATTGAGCACATTAGGGAGCCATTTGTTACACAGGCTTGGCTTGCCCTGGCTTGGACTAAATTTAGTACCATATTTGTTTCATCTAATCCTAATCTTAGATGGGATTACTAATACCGGGCCCACCAAAAATACCTCCTTAGGAAAGGACTACTAAACTCATGTGAAAATAAAGGATTAACTAGTTCCATGCTCACCAATGTATAAGATGCATATGTTATATTGTAATAATAATAGCATATATTATTATTATTATATTCCCATATTTATATATTATATTATATTATATTATACTTACATACATATATACATATATAAAGATACTTTTGAAAAAATAAAAAAATCTAGTCCTAGTCCAAGCATACACCAAATGCAGACCGACAGTCCAAGCCAAGACAATTCCTAAGCATAGTCCATGCAAAGACAATCCTGTGTAACAAACGAGCCCTAGAAGAATAAAAGAAACTGTTTGGACCAGATTGTATTTATAATCCTGTAAAAAGTAAAAAGTACAATATGGGGCTACAGAATCCCATTACCTATTTATCTATCAAAGGAATTAAAAGAATCATGAAAAGAAAAAGGTTCAATGATGGTCAATGGGCCTCAAGTTCTAAACTATGCAAAACCCCTCGAAACTGATTTAAACTTAGGCTACGATGGTCTTTATTGTTTAAAAAACTTCCGAAATGCACATCCTTGAGCCTCATAAACGTCTGCAAAGTCAACAGACTATCAGAACCAGCATGGTGACTCTTCCCAGCCACACGACCAACCTGAAGCAATTGAGCCACGTTCTCTAAACCTCCATAAAGCCCTGGACAAGGCTTGATCAAGTGCTTGATGTCGTAAACTCTTTCCCCAAACTTTTTCTCCACCTCCCCCATGAAACCACCAATGTCCATCGGCAAGTCCTTCCGAGTTAGAATCTTCATCAAGTACCCGAAATCGTACGAACCATGGAAAGTCACCCATGTTAAACGGGACCTATTGTGGAGCACCATCCTTTCCATCAGCCAACCGAAGTCGGAAGAGTAAATACCATTTTCCTTGTTCTGCAAGAAATCGATTCCTTGCTGTTTAAGAAACTCAATTGCGTTTGTGCTGTGATGGTCACCACGCTCAATGTCGAAGTCCCTGAAGTTGAATTCCCATATGTAGCAGCAATTTGTGCCCAAATCGGGCAAGTTCCCGTAGCGGTCTGAGAGTGTTAGGCCCAGCTGGATGATGTTCATGGCGTCCACATTGCCCTTCATGATTTGGTATTGGTGTGCAGGGGGATCCCTAGCGTTGCATTCATGAATGGTGCCTGGGAATTCAGTGTCGAAGGAGACAAAAGGGTAGCGAGCAATTGTGGCCTCAACGAGAGCAAACTCGTATTCTAAATTTTGTTGCCATACGCTTCGAATCTCCACTCTTTTATTCATCTTTAATTCTGAGTTTGGCTTCTTGAATTTTGCTCTCTTGTGCTCCGCGTTGTTCTTGAATTTGTTTTGAATGTTATCTTCGACCAAAGTCATCCATTATATAGATAGTGCTACTTTTCCAAGTGCAAGTAGGAAACCCAAGCCCATAAGCAAAATAAAAGAAACGAAATAGGAAATGTTTCTGTTTTTCTTCTCCCTTGATTCCGAGTGTTCTGAGGAAACCAAATCCCAAATGAAAAGTGATAAAAACTAAAAACACATGCCGCCACTATTTCCCTTTTTCTTTTTTTCCCTTTTATAAAAGTCATTATTGTTTATAAGTAAAAAATAACGAAATAGGGGAAAGGTAATTTGTTTTTTGGGAAATGAAAGTTGGAGAAGCAACTAAATCCAGCCTTATTATTCTTTTTTCTATTATTCCTTTAGTAAATTATGTATTTAGTTTATTCTCTTTTCTTTAAATTTTATTTGATGTAGACAATATTCAGTCATGGTGCAATGATTAAAAGTTTTAGTCGGAAGTTGGAAAGATAGAATGGTTAAAGTTTTGGTTGGCACCACGATGCAGTGATGAGGAATGGGGATCATCATAATCTTTCTAAGCTATGAGTTGACTAGTGTAGTGTATATCAACAACGTTTATCACTAGCTGAATTATTTGTAGCATAATTTTAAATGTCAAAGAAACAAAACGAGCTTTGAGGGTTGTTTAGTTGATTATAAAGCCTAAGTTTTCATCCCCAACCTGTTCCTTGCCATCAACCCAAACCTTCCACACCTTAAACTAGTTGCTGCCAGACACTCCCGAAACCTAAATGTGCATCCACCAAGAAACTTTTAAGTGTAACCCATTGTACGCAACCAATGAAACGGGAGATTTTCTCCTTGCATCCTCCCCCATAAATGGTTCTTTTCAGAGCCTGAATTCAACATTAATGCCTGAAATACCTTTTTCTCATGCCTTGATACTCAAAGCCATACTTTCTCTCTCTCTTGGCAAAGGACCCACTAGTGTAGTAATTTTGAACAATTGATCCTCCCAAGAAAGGTCCTGGATTCAATCTTAGCATCCGTGTAGTGTGTGTAAGTTTAGCATACTATCGCTCCTCTCAATAAAAAAGGTCCTCAAAAGCCATACTCATGTATTGGATCGTACCAACCACACAAGGACTTCTAGGTAGTAATATACAATCTGTCAGTCAATGGTCTCCAGCACGAAGTTTGTTCCATCTGTTGGACATTTGGAGCTAGCAATGGTCCAAGATGCATTTCTTCAAGTGTCACCTCAAATTACCTTAACTACACTGCCATTGTTCTTCTCACGAAATTATAGTTTCTTCATGAAGTCTTCAATGGTATCAGCAGGGCCAAACATATTCTTCAGTTTGACTTCGTCCCAAAGTAAACGGCATGTTTTATACCTAGGCTTTATCTCTTGACCAATCATCTCCTCAAAGAGAAGATACGCCCACTCGCACTTATTTGATCTGCACAGTCCATGAATTAGAATCGTATAGGTTGAGAGATCGAGACTGAGATGATGTCTATTAACCATGTCATCTAATAGCTTGCTCAAAAAATTGTCTGTTTTGCCAGTTTTAAAGCACATTTTAAGCAATGGATAGTATGTCTGAACATCCGGCTTACATAACCTTGCATTTTCCATCTGCAAGAGGACATCTAAGGCCTTTTGCTCTTCAGCATGATGGCAAAACATGGCAATCATTGTATTGTAAGTTGATGTATTAGGAGGGACCCCCTTCTTAGGCATTTCAACCTCGAATACATGAATAGCGTCTCGTACCCGCCCAGCTCTTCCTAGTGTGTGGATCAGTGAGTTGTAAAATAGTGTATCCGGATCACATCCAGCAGATTTCATTCTCTCATATAATTGCAACGCTTCCTCAAACTCCTCAGACTTAGCTAGATAACACATGACAGAGGTGAAGGTGATAACATTTGGCGGGCACCCCTGAGCTTCCATTTCATCAAACAATTCATAGACCTTAACAAAGTTGTATTGGTGGCAATAAAATAGGATGATGGTTGAGTAACTGATGACACAAGGTCGACAGCCATGTCCCTTCATTTCTTGGATTGTCCAGTGTGCCTCTTCAACTCGTTTGATCTTGCACCAACCATGAATGAAAATGTTAAATGTATGAGCATTTGGCGAGATGTGTGATTTTAGCTCTAAAAAGATTTCACGAGCCTGCTCAACTTTGTTCTCTTTGCAAAGTGTGTCAAGCAACAAGTTCATGGATTCCGTGTTCTTCTCCAATCCAAAACTTCCTAACTCATCAAACATCCTCACAGCATCTTCCCATTTCCCTGCACCAGCAAACCTTCTCATAACCTTACCAACAGTGTTAAGAGTGACCAGATGATCCTGACGCATCTTTTCTAACAAACCCATAATCTTATCCATTTGCCTCATTTTACCCAAAATGTCAACTATCATATCATATGCATCTGGGGTGAGTTTATAGTCAGAGCGTGACTCTGCCCATCTAAACACACCCAATGCAGACTTCCAATCATTCTTAAACCGATGGAACAATTGACCAACAAGTTTATCTGTGAGCTGTATGCTATTGTGTGCTGGATCATGTGATAGAGACTGTAGAATCTCATCGTCAGTGCTACCAACAGATACTTTAGCAATGATAATGTCAAGGTCCGATAGTCTTGTTGGGTCTTCAAATTGTGATGACCCCTGCTGAGAAGACAAAATTGAAGAAAGAGCAGGTGAGCAATTTTCAGAAGACGTATGGAAAAAGGAGCAAGAGTTTGAAGTATTGCTTCGGAAGCGGACACTTTTAAAGCATTTCTGAACATGGAAGATCATGAAGATGTCCCCAGGAAATTCAAAGATTATGTCTTTTAGCTCCTGCACACCAAAAAATAAAATAAAAATGAAGCTTTAGATTGTATATAATCCAATAGAATATCGAGGGAGAAAAAGAAATATAAGGTAGCATTTTATACAGAAATGACAACCTCAGAAACTAAATTAGTATATAAACCTCCCCCTCCCCTAAAGAGCGAAGGACCACAACAACCCTAAACCCATGCATTTCCACCTAAACGCTAAACCCATCAAGAGGTAGACCCAAATAACACAAGGGTGCACTCCCCTGGCCGCAACAGCCCATCATCAGCCTTGATGATACCCACACTAAGAGACTGTCATATTTAAGCATCAACAATACCATGTAAACTAAAACATGAACCTCCAACAGTTAACACATGATCTTACACTGCCCAAAGGCAATGCAGAAAAGGACTTGCAATACAAAGAATGCTTTAAGTCCCCAGATATACATCATGAAAAACAAAATCTGACTTCAATTTAAAAACTGAAATATAAATTATTCAACCTTGAATCAAGTTTATAATACTCTACAATTTTTTGAAGAGAATTATATAATGAAAGACCTGTAGCATTAACAAATACTTTCCAATAAAATTTGTGTGAGTTAGTTCTTGGAAAATTTTCCCTAAAATTAGTCCAGATTTTCCATAAAAGAGCGTATTGGCTAGTAGCAAATTGAAACACAATCAGTGATCCTATTGGCTCAACAAAATAGGGATTTTATACCATAACAAAAAAAGATTTTCCTTGAAAAACTTCAACTGCAATATCAGAACCATACTTGTGGAAAATGTACCAGAAAGCAAGCTATACTTCTCATGATAGTCAACATCTTGCAATGCGTAAGGCAACAAAATAATTGCAAAAGCATGCTGACTGGCACGCGCATTAAAGGGGTACATTCAAAACATATTGTAACTAGCAAAGGACATATATTGTACAATGAAACTTGCTTTTTCGAACTTTACTGAAATCCTCCAAGAAACACATGGAATACATTCATAATAGCTTCTAATATGTTCTTCTTGACTAAGAATAATGCAAGAGCACTGTCATCAAAGAATAATGCAAGAGATCAGGAAGTATAAATTATGTACACCTGAAACGTGAAAAATACAGCAAACATACATCTACCAAATGAAGAAATTAAGACCTCACAAGCAAGAAGATAACAACACTGATTTAGCGGCACAATAAAATTATTATTTTAATACCAAGAAATCCACCAATCCGCAAAGTGGACACAGCTTTAAAACTGGGGCCCCCCAACAAACCCTACAAACTTTGGGAGGCGGGAAACACTTGCAAATAGCCAGGTAGGTACCTTTGGGGTTTTCCAACCCCAGACCAGATAGGAGCTCAATACAAAAGGAGGAATAAAATCTAGAACCTTACGAATGGATTGGAAGCTTGGCATCTTAATATTTCCAAGGGCAGAAATAAGAACTAAAACCCAAACTAAATCCTACCAAAAAAGAAGAACCAAGTTCTGTAATCACAATTTCCGGATTGGAAGAATATGAAATTGAAATAATGGTAGTTACATGAGAACAAGATTATACTGTTCAAAGGCACCTTAATTGTAATAAACCAGTGTTTTTAAAGGCATGCCTTCGCGCGCGTCGGAGCGAGGCTGCAGGAAATCGCCCGAGGCGGTCAGCTGTTTCGCGAGTTGCACGTTTAGCGCAGGGAAGGCGTAAGGAGCGTTGCAAGGCGTGGCCAGGCGAGCCAGATCTGGACACTTCTGAACCGGAAGAAATTTTGCGAGTCTGCAAAGTGGCTGCGATTCTGCAGAGGCGCGTTTGTTTTTTAGGTTTATTTTTATGAAACGACGTCGTTTCGATTGCAGTGTTTTAACTTTAAATAGAACGACGTCGTTTCGATTGCGTTTTAAAAAAATCCTAACTGAAACGACGTCGTTTCACTTGGAGTGTTTTGAAGACAAAAAGGGATGTTTCTGTTTTTTTTTTCTTACCTTAATTGTAATAAGGCAAGAAGAATTAATATCTTTCTTGCCTTTTCTAAGTCCAGCCGGCTGTAGCTTTATTCTACTTACCTATTTTTTATTTTCTAAATTAATATATTAACACATGGACTTATATTATATATATATCTATATATATAAAGCAAAAGGCAGAGAATGGTGAAACATTCAAAATACCAAAAAATGCCATTGGTTAATACAAACATTAAGAATTGAAATTATTAATTAAGTGAGGATAATATGGTAAATTTACACTTTTTCATATTTAAAAATTTTAAAATTAAAAGAAAAATTAGATAATGGATCCTCTTTTTATGGAACACAACTACCCATTATCTTTTTTAATTCTAAAATAAATTTAATTTTTTCTTTTAAAAAGCCTCTTGCAGGCGCGTAAGCGCATGCAAAGAGGCTAGTATACATAAAGCAAAAGGCAGAGAATGGTGAAACATTCAAAATACCAGAAAATGTCCTTAGTTAATTCAAAAATTAAGAATTAAAATTATTAATTCAATGAGGATAATATGGTAAATTCACATTTTTTATATTAAAAAAATTAAAATTAAAAGTTAAATCAAATAATAATTACCCATGTTATCTTTTCTTAATACTAAAAATAATAATAATAAAAAAAACCAATTGGCAAGGAGCTAGTATGTATATATATTGTATAGTACAACCCTAATTTCTACCCTTACCAGATAATCTCCATCAATTTCAAGAATTCTCTTCATCTTTCGACTGCAAGTAAGCCATGTTATTTTTCTCTCTAATTCTTCGCAACTATAATTTGAAGTTCCATATAATTTTTTTTCAATTTTTTTTCTTCAATATATTAGTTATCTTATTCGTTTATGTGATATAGTATAAATTTGATGTACATGCATCATACTTGTATCTTAGAAATATTAACGGTGTTGTTTTATAGCTATAAATCGAAAAGATCATGTGTGGAAGTATGCAAAAGAAATATATGGGGAAAAATACTTGAGATGCACATTTTGTAATCAAAGATGCAATGGAGAAATTTCTAGACTTAAGCATCATTTGGGTCAAACTCATCATAGTATGCAATCATGTAAGAAAGTTCATGAGCATGTGAAAAAAGAGTATGCCGCAACTTTGAAAAATTTTCAGCTTGAAAAAAGAAAGAAAAATGAAATGCTTAGAGAGATTATGGATGGTTTGTTGCATTCCTAAGAGGACACAAATTAATGTGCAAACAACCAATTAAAAATACCCGCAAGTGCACGAATCTATCGAAGTATAGATTATGTAAGTACGGGGTCGATCCCACGAAGAACTTGTCGGCTTCCTATAAGTTCTAATTTGAGTACATAAAGAACACTTATTTAACACACCACAAATGCACAAATGAAAGAGGGAAACTAGAAATGAGTAAAGAAGTGTAAAAGAAATGGAACAACACAAGAAAACTAGAGAAAAACACAAACAGCACTTTCTATCGCCATTTTATCACCTGTGAACAGTGCCGTGAACAGTGAACAGTGACATGAACAGTACCGTGAACAGTGAACAGTGACGACCGGTCTCGTGAACAGTGACGACCGGTCGTTTTTCGGCAGAGTCGAAATTTCAATAAACGTGTGATGAGCGACCGGTCGTGAACAGTAACGACCGGTCGTTTTTGGGCAGATTCGTTTCTCTGTTTTTCAATTTCGACCTCTGTCCAGTGTTTTGCCTATAACTTTCCAACCGTACGTCCAAAATTCACGTTCTTTATACGGTTGGATTCAGAACAGAAAATGCAAGAACACAACGCGGACCAAAAGTCCAAAACAATTACGGAAACAAATAAAATTCAGTATCAAAGACACACCACGTATAAAACACACAACTCACACACACATTGGGGGGGGGTTTTGATTTG